GGTGCCCCGTGCAGTGCCCCAGCCCCTCTCTCTCTCTCTCTCTCTCTCTGTGTCTCTCTGCAGTGCTCTGCCCGACCTGACGCGGTGCTGCCCCCACGCTCCCACCCCGGCGCCTCCAAACGGGGCCAAACCCCAGGACAAAGGGTCACCCCCCCGTGGCTGCCCCACCCCGCACTCCCCCCTTTGCACAGCTGGGAATAAAGAATTCCTTACGTTAATTAGGCAACTGGTGTCCAGTGTCTGTGTCTCCCCTTGCTCCTGGCGGTGCTTTGCAGCTTTTTGATAGGAAAATGATGTTTTTAAGCAAAAAAAAAAAAAAAAAATCCAAACACTGACTTGGCTCATGAATATTCTGGGATCTAAAAACACAAACTTCTGGCTAAGGAGCTGCTGGCTGCAGCTGCCACCATCAGAGGGGCAAAATTCAGATTAAATTCCATTCTTGGGGATTTTCCCCATTTTTTTCACTTTTCTGTGATCCCATTTTCTGCTAAAAATTGTGCAAACATCACCCAGAAAATCAACCCATTATTTAGGAATAGCTCATTAAGGGACAGGGGGGCTTCCGTCTCTGCCATTTGGGAGAGAATTGCTCTGTTTTGGGGTTTGTCACTCATTTTGGGGAAGAGTGCCTAATTTGGGGGTTGTTGCTCGTTTTTGCAGAGTGTTGTCCATTTTGGGGCAAATTCAGTCATTTTGGGAGAATATATTCATTTCCAGAAGGAGCAGTTTGGGACAGCATCCTTTGGGGGCATGTCCCTCATTTTGGGGGAGAATTTTTGGAGAACACAACTCCTTTTGGGGTGAGCACCCATTTTGGGGGAGAATCACTCATTTCAGGGAGAAATTAGCCCCTTTTGGGTCATCACTTGATTTTGAGGAGCATCCCTCATTTTTGGGGACCATCACTCATTTTGGGGTTGTCTGGAACACTTTGGGGGAGCTTCAGGGGGAGAATCACACATTTTTTGAGAGAACAGCTCATTTTGGGGTGTGCCTCATTCATTAGTGGGCAAAATCTCATTGGAGCTTGTTTGAGGGGGGAAATTTTCATTTTTGGTGGACCATCAGTTTTGGAAGTATAAATCTAATTTTCTCCACATCACTCAATTACCAATTTGGATCCATCCACCCATTTGGGAGTAAATTAGTTTTATGAGGGGAGTTTAGTCCATTTTGGGGGGTTATTCCTGCATTTTGGGTCTTCTCCACTCAAAGGAAGAAGCTGCCAAGAAAATACAGGTGCGACCCCTCATCTTGTAGCACTTTATAATAAATGGCCAGGAATTAATACTAAATTACAATGAATCCTTTATGAAATTACAGATTACATTCACGCCAGATCAGTATCCAAAAATAGGCATTTCTGCCCATTGCATCACTTGTTCTTTTAATCCCAGCTCTTGTTCAGGTTCTTTTGTCAACTCTTCAAGAGCCAGGAAAAAAAAAGGACAATATGGGCAAAAAGCCTCCAAGAAAATGATCCTTCTCCTAGAATCTCACATTTAGAGCAGGAACCTGCAGAAGACAATTCCTTTTATTTTTGCCCTGGTTTGCTTTTGCATTTCCTCCCATGCCACATTTTAAGGCGAATCCACCCTTTTGCGAGCATTTAAAATTAAAAAACCCAAAATACAGGGTTTTTGGCAGTTGCCCTCCCCCATGGGGCTAAAGCTCCTCCATTTTGCCATGTGGAGGGACAATACCAGGGAGAAATCATCTTTTAAGCAACAATACTTTGTTTCCTTCCACCCAGGTGAGTCTTGCACATCACCATTCAATTTTGGGTGAAATCTTGAGTTCTTTTAAACCGATTTTCCCCCCACTTTTAACTAACTCTGTGCCAAAATGCCTTTGGAAAAGTTTTACTTCCGGCAGCCTTTGCCCCAACTCTGCCTCCAATCTCAGCCCTTAAAGACGAGAATGGGGTTAGTTGGATTTTTTCCAGATTCAGCAGAGGTTTTAGCACATAAATTAAAGGATTTGGAGGAATTTCCTCCCTTTTCCAGAAAGCTGTATCCAGAGTCACCAAGCAGCCTCAGCATCGGGGCCAAAGTTGGGAGGTTTGGGCAATCCCATGAGTCGAGCACCAAACCCTCCTTGGATATAGCAGAATTTGCACTCGCTGATTATTTTTCTTCCCCCTCCATGCCAGTGTTTATGCCTGTGAATGACCTTTCTGGGGGAAAAATCCAAAAAGCATCAAGTCCTGGGGTTGGTTTGGCTTTTCTTTGCACCAGGAAATCCAAGGGATGGGCGCAGTGGCCCACCCAGCACTGCCCACCAGCATCCGAGCGTCACGTGGGGAAAACAACTTCCCCTAAAAATGCTTTTGCTTACCCAAAAATGAAGGGAAAAAGAAAAACAAAACCTGAAATAAGAGATTAATCTGGCCACAATATGTGCCTTGTAAACGTGTGTCCACTTCTGGGCGCTGCCATGGTGGTCCCTGCGCTCTGGGGCAGCCAGGGCCTCTGCCAGCGCTGCCAGTTTGCTTTTTTCTCACTCATTTCTTCTTCTTGCCTTTATTTTTTTTTTTTTTGCATTTCGGGGGAATTTTGTATCTGGTGCTGTCAATGATTTGGGAGGGTGCAGGAGGAGCTATTCCAGTGAGTCACTGTGGTCCAAACCAAGGTCAGCACCAGGTGCTGCTGGGAGGCCACCAGGCTCTTCCTCCAGCTCTTCCTCCTCTTCCTCCTCCTCCTCCATCTCGTCCTCGTCCTCCTCATCCTCCTCCTCTTCCTCAGTGCCATCCAGGGAGTCATCGTGGGCTGCCAGCATCGCCTGCTGCATGGCCATGGTGGCAGTGGCTGATGACAGGGGCTGCAGGTTGTCCATGCTGAGCGAGCCTGGAATTAAAAGCACAGAAATAAGGACTCCCCAGCTAACACAGAAAGCACAAAAGTGCATAAACCAAGAATAACTCAAGTGAAAAGCTTGGAGAGTTTCACCCATAGGGTGTCCCACCTACCCCAGTCACTCCCCAAGGTCCAATCTTTAATTTTTTTCAGCTAATGCATCATTAAATAACAAGATTCCTTAGTTCTGAGAAAGTAGATGCCCCAAATTGGTTGGGCAGATCTTCTCTTCATCTTCTCTCAAGTCATCTCGTCTGGCATATGTTCACTTCTGTTCTCTTTACCTTCTCTTCATCTTCTCCCTTCATTTTCCTCATCTGTTCTTTGTTCATCATCTCTCTTCATCATCTTCACCTTCTCTATTCTTCTCTTCCTTTCCATCATCTATTTTCTCTTAATCTTCTCTCTTCATTGTCCTCATCTGTTATTGGTTCATTATCTCTCTTCATCATCATCACCTTCTCTATTCTTCTCTTCATTTTCATCATCTATCGTCATCTTCTCTCTTCCAATTTGGTCTCAATCTGTCTTCTCATCTCCACCTTTCCACCTCTCCCCTCCCTCCCTTCCCCAGCTGCTCAGGAGCTGACCCAGGCCATGCCCCACAGTGGCTGATCATCATCCTGGTGGCCAGCTGGAAGGACCTTCTTGCAAGAACCTCTTGTGTTTCCCCAATAAAGGCCTCTAGAAATTACCAATTAAGGCCGTAATTAATGCATGGCCTAGAAGGGCAGGGCCACTGGGGCTTGTCCTTACCATCAGGGTTTGTCCCTGCGTTGCCCCCCTGCTGCTGCAGGACGCCGGCGGCGATGGAGTTGGGCCAGAACCGCTGCGTGGGCCGGTGCTGGGATTTGATTTTCTTGGCTTTGGGGGCTGGGTCCGGGTTGCTGGCGTCCAGCATGGGCTGCAGGATGCGCCGCCGGGCGTTGATGAACCTTCATGGGAAAGAGAGAGCAGTGAGTGAGTGAGAGCTGTTACAGCAGCACCGAGTCAAAACAACGCTACGGCAAATCAATGGGTTGCAATTTAATAATAACAATACTTTAAGAAAGCAGCTGCATGCTTCAAAAATCTGGGGTTTGTTTATTTGCCTGTGCCACTGTTCCAGACTGCAAGGCAAGATGAATTCCATTACCATCTGTGTGGCAGTTGTCGTTTGTCAAGTGGGCAGTTTTTCCTTATCTCTTCCACACCCACTCCTCCCTCTGGGCAGACATCTGCTGATAACAGCTATTGGATGTCCCTGCATGGCTGATAAGAACTACAGCATCCCATTGGGAGATGTGAGCCCAGAGGGAGGAGCCAAGCATTCCTACCTGGATATAATCTGGAGATTCTGGAGCACCAGCACGGCTTCTCCCCTGGATTCCCCAGAGGAACAGCAGCTGCCTCTTTTTCCACTGGATCTTCAGAGGCAGAGACTGCACCTTTCTCCAGGATCCCTGCTCCAGCAGAACCAGCCCTGACACTGCAGGAGGGCTGAGCCACAATTCCAATGGCACTGCTGCCAACAGCCTGACCCACAGGGTGTCAGGTTGGGTTCTGACTCTGGCAATGTTGTTTTAGTTACTGCATTGTTTATTTTATCCTTTTATTTTCTTCCCTATTAAAGAACTGTTATTTCCTGCTCCCACATTTTTTGCCTGACAGCCCCTTAATTAAAAAGCTGTAGCAATTCAGAGGGGTGGGGAGGGTTTACATTCTCCATTTCAGGGGAGGCTCCTGCCTTCCTCAGCAGACTCCTGTCTTTCCAAACCAAGACAGCCACATTATAGCTCTGCATTAGTTTTTCCTGCTGAGTTGGGAGAATGCTGCACATTGGATTTGCCAGGAGAGGGCACTGAGACCTTGCAAACCAGTCCTGACACTAAACACCACTGAGCTCATCTCCCAGAAATCCCAGAGCCACAAAATCACAGAATGGGCTGAGCTGGAAGGACTCACCAGGATCACTGAGTCCAGCTCCTGGCCCTGTGCAGGACACCCCAAGAATCAGCCTTAACCACCAAAGTTACCCCCCAAAAAAGCATTATACAGCACAAAAAACGGGTGAAAAAGGTCCTAAAGCCAGCAAAACGACTGAGTGGGCCACCAGAATCTGCTCACCAGTTGTTGACTTGCAAGAGGGTCAGGTTGGTTTGGGCAGCAATTTGCCTCTTCTCATCCTCTGTGGGGTAGGGGTGCTGGAAAAAAAGAGAGATGGGGTAGCAAGACTGCATCCCTGCATGCAAAATGTCATGCCTGAGTGAAAAATAATGAAAACCTGCCTTTTTTCTTTTTCCCCACCCTAAATTTGGTCCTTATTGCCTTTGCTGAATGCAAGGTTGAAGGGTGGAATCCAAGAGCATCAAGATTTCCTTGGGTGCACTTGGGGTTTTTCCAAGGTTTTCCATCAAATGCTTTCCTTGAAGGAAAATCTTCTTGGGGTTTTATTTAACTCCAGCAATTTTCCAGTGATGGTTGTTGGTAAACATGAAATTTGTGCTTCAAAAGAGCTTTTTGCTGCTTTATTGTCAGAGACATCAATGAAACACCCTGAAACATCTGCACTGGGAAACAGCAGCATTGAAAGCTTCAGCAACCTCCTTCCAACTGTGCTAAAATGCTCTTTTCCAACCCCAGAAATGAAATTATTTTCAAAGCCACGTTTTGGAGCCCCAAACCAGTGACAATTACCATTACCATTTTTCAGCTGTTAGCCCCAAAATTGTGATTTCCTTGGCAACGCCACCCAAAGTCAATGCACACTGAAGATTCACTTCCTGCTGGGGTCTCAGTGGTTAAAAATCACCATTTTTTGGCAGAACTAACCCATTTTTGGTGTATTATTTCCAGCACTCTTTCCCCCTGCTGGTGCTCCAAAACTTCCAGTAAAATGGTGGGAATTTTTGGTTAAAAACCACATCATCTCTGACACCAGGTGGAGAAATCTCATGGGCAAGCCCAAATTTCTTCTGACCCTAAGGACCAGGCTGAGACCAAAGATCCAACCATCCAGCAGAATAATTTCTTTCAATTTTTCAATTCCATTTTGGAAATCTTAAACTATGTGATTCTCCTAGCACTTGGCAGAAAATTGCTCTGCAGTTTCTGGTCTTTAACATCCTTTTTGCGCCTGCAAATCTGCAGTTGTGCCCTCCAGAAACACGGGAGATGCACGACACAGCAACATTCTTGTCCTCATTGTAACAAATCCAGAATTTTCCATTTTAAAAAAAGGCTGGGAAGTTCTGCTGCTGCTGCTTCATGTCCTGGCTGATTTTTCCACACTGGAGCTGTCACCTTCTGCATTACTGATGCCTTGGGGATCTCCCACCACTCTGTCTTCCTGGAGAGCCAGACTTTGCTACCAGTTTCAGTTTCCAAGTGATTTCTTGGCAGAATTATGCAGGAAAAAATATGGGATTTTTGGCTTTTTGCCCTTCTCCCAGCCCTGCTGATGAGAGAGAACTCTTCATGCACAAAAATATCCAGTTTGCATCTAAGCTCCCTCCACCTTCCATCTCCAATCCCCCAAATCAGGGTGACTTTGCAATTCTGTGTTTTGACTGGCGGCTGATGTGCTACAACCCTACCTGTGAGCAGCTCTCACATTCCAGCTTGCTACAAAAGGATATTTTGGAGCTGTTAACTGCAAAAAAAATGCTCAATTCTCCATCTTCAAGAAGTCCCAGGAGTCCCCTTCTAGATTTGTGTGCTTCTTCTTGCCTTAAGGGAATATTTTTTCCCACCTGCAGTGACAATGGTAATTCCCAAAATACTCCCAAAATACAAACCACTTTGCACCTCCAAGCACACATTCAGACAATCCACCACCTGGATTTGAGGATTTCTGGACTTTTTGTCCCTTTTTTCCCCACGTTTCAGGGTGTTTTGGTGGCTGAGGTGCTCACCATGAGATGCTGGAAGAGCCATGAGCGCATGATGTTGGTGGCGTGCTTGGGCAGGACCCCCCGCTTGTTCTTGGACTTCTTGTCCTCACCATCAAGGAGGGAGGTGAGATCCAGGTTCACCTGTCAGGGCAGAAGGAATGGGGAGAGAATTGCTTGAAAATGGTGCTGGGCAACCCAAAAAATGAGCAGAACCAACCCAAAATGGGAGTGGGATGAGTGATAAAAACCTAGCGCTTATAGGAGAATCCAAAACCCATTTCCTGCTCCATCAAATCTGCATAAATGCAGATTTTCTCCCAGGATCTGTATTTTTTATCTCAATATTTTTGTCAATGCTTTGCAAGGGAGTAATGGAACTGTTGGGGAGTGTAGTGATGACACCATGGCCAATTTCAATGTGTGTTTTAGGAGAAAAACACTTTTACCTGAAAAAAAAAATATTAAAAATGCCCCAAACCTCATAAAAAGATTATTTTTCTCAATTTAAAATTAAAAACACCCCCGCCACTCACCAACCCCTTGCAAACCCATATTCCTCACCCAGCTGATTTCCACCACAAGGAGGGACATGCCCATTGAGCCAAAATTTGCTTTTTTTGCCCCCCAGAAATGAAAAAGAAACATCTTGCTGCAAGAGGAGTTTTAATGAGGATTCGGGAACCAAACTGAAATCTAAGCACTTGAGTTAAAAAGGGATTTTTTTTTTTTTTTTTCCCCAAGTCTTCATCAAAACACTTCTCCTGGATGAATTAAACATCAGGCCAGCAGGTCCCTGTGATTCCCCTGGGCTGCAGCTGAATAAATCATGCCAGTGGCACAGCAAGAGCATCCAAAGGTGCTTGTCCAGGCTCTCTCCCTGCCCCAATATTCCCTGTGCACATGTTTTTCCCACCACAGAGGGTTTTGCTGCAAGATTTAAACCTGCAATGGAGAGATATTATAGAAAGAGAATTTTTAAGCATTGCACAGGCAAAAAAAAACCTGCCAGGGAGATGCCACCTCTTTTCAAAATGCTGTTTATTGACTGTTTGATAAGAGGCTCTTGCAATTAAAATGGGGCATTTCAGGAATAATGGGGGTGAATTTCTGCTGCTCTGCCCCCAGGAAACAGTGTTACAGAAATTGAAGGGGGTTTTATTTTCCAAATTCCTGGGGTTGGGAAGAGCTCATGGACAAGCTGTGCTAATAAACCCAGCTCTGCTCCAAATCATTGTCTCACTGCAAGAATGCAGGGATCATTGCATAACTCATTGCAATGTCAGGGGGGAAAAAAAGGAATAAAACCAGAGCAAATGGCTGAAAAATATCCCCAAATTCAGAAAGGAAGACCTAAAAATGAGCCTTTCCCACAGGTGCCATGATTGTTGTGCTGGACAGGCAATGCCAGTGATCCCAGATCTATAATATATCAGCAATAATATCTATTTTTATATAGATATAGATATAGATATAGATATAGATATAGATATAGATATAGATATATATTAAAATGTATATATCTATCTGTATAGATATATATTTTTTATATTTATATCTATCAATATATAGAGATAGATAGATAGATAGATAGATAAACCTATTTATATATTTATATATCTACATATATATAATCTATAATCTATATAGAGATTATATATATGATATATAATCTATATCTATATATATATATATAAAAGATAGATGATAGATAGATAGATAGATAGATAGATAGATAGATAGATAGATATTAGCAGTAATATCAGCAATATCAACCATGATATCTATCTATCTATCTATCTATCTATCTATCTATCTATCTATCTATCTATTATCCTATCCTATCCTATCCAATATATATTTATTAATATAAAGTATAAATATGGAATATGTACAATGCACAGTATATAACAAAGCATATGGAATAAAATACCATGTTCTATCAAACATTACAAATAACAGATATTGTTACATATATATATGTGTGTTTATTGTATATTGTGTATATATTGTTATATATTGCACTAAATAATATTATGTACATTATTATTATATGTTGTAATATTTTATAGCAATAACATAAGCACTGTTATAACTTCTTAGGTCATTGCTATAATTCATTAGGCACCCCAAAGGCACCTGGCAGATGGGTTTAATCAACGTTTCTTGCTAATTAAAAATTTAAGACACTCCAAGGATTGTATTTCTGGAGAAATGGGGGGTTCTGCCCGCTGCAGTGCCACAGTGGAGCTGGCAAGGCCTTACCTGGGCATTGGGGATCTGCAGGGCGCCAGGGGTGATGGCCTGGGCGAGCACCTGGCCCTGCGACGTCACCATGGTCACGGGCTGGTACAAGGCTCCACCTATGGCAAAAAACACGTGTGGGGGCACCCAGACCCCCAGGGTGCCCCTGCCCACGCCGCCCCTGCCCTGCCTACCTGGCACGGCGGGCGAGCTGCTGCCGGTGCCCATGGCCAGGTTGCCAGGGGGCAGAGTGGCCGCGGGCACCACGATGCCCGCAGGGGGGTTGGAGGCCGGCGGCAGCGCTGCTGGAGAGCTCTGCAGCATCTCCTGCACAAAGCAAAACACCAAACACGTCCATTGCACCATCAAAGTTTCATTTTTTGTCCCCCCCCTAACATTTTTTTTTATTTATTTTGGTGGTTCAACAGGAAAAAAGGCAGGAAATTGTTTTCTGCAGCATCTCCTGCACAAAACAAAGCACCAAACACGTCCATTGCACCATCAAAGTTTCATTTTTTGTCCCCCCCTAACATTTTTTTAATTTATTTTGGTGGTTCAACGGGAAAAATGGCAGGAAATTGTTTTCTGCAGCATCTCCTGCACAAAACAAAGCACCAAACACATCCATTGCAGCATCATTTTTTGTCCCCCCCTAACATTTTTTTTATTTATTTTGGTGGTTCAATGGCAAAAATGGGAGGAAATTGTTTTCTGCAGCATCTCCTGCACAAAACAAAACACCCAAACACGTCCATTGCAGCATCAAAGTTTTTAGGTTTTGTCCCCCTCTAATTTTTTTTTAATTTATTTTGGTGGTTCAATGGGAAAAATGTCGGGAAATTGTTTTTTGCAGCATCTCCTGCACAAAACAAAGCACCAAACACATCCATTGCAGCATCAAAGTTTCATTTTTTTGTCCCCCCCTAACATTTTTTTTTTTATTTATTTTGGTGGTTCAACAGGAAAAATGGCAGGAAATTGTTTTCTGCAGCATCTCCTGCAAAAACAAAACACCAAACACATCCATTTCAGCCTGAAAGTGTCCCTCCTAAATTTTTTTTTTTTTTTAATTTTGGTGTTTCAACGGGAAAAATGGCAGGAAACAGGATTTTTCAGTTTGTTGCAACTGCAAAAAAAAAAGATGGAAAAAAAGTGTTTATGCTGTACAAACCCCCATTTAGCACCTTCACCAAACTTTTGTGCAGTTCCTTTTCCTTTGTGCATTTTTCTTTGTGCAGTTACTATTTTCCATCAAAAAAGTATCAAAGGGAAAAAAAGATCACAAGGGACCAAAAGGAATTTATTTTATCTTTTTCTTTCTAAACATTTCTCTTTTTTCGGTGCTTTGACTAGGACTGGATGATGCAACCTTTGCTAAAATTCAGGTGAGCAGCACAGTTTACCTCAGAGTAAAATAATGAAGTTAATAATAATATAACCCTATTGATATCACTCCTTGATATCAATATCAATAGGGTTGTATTTAAGCTAATTTCTTGCAAATATGGGCAATTTTTTGAGCCAAAAGCTGTAATTTTCCTTTAAGGCCCATCTCTGGAGCAACACCGTAAGACCTCAACTGGGATGATTATTAGATTATTTATTTTAATATTTAAATGACTATTTGAGTATTTAATGTGACATTTTGGGAAGGGAGGAGTGCCACAATTGAGGCTGCAGGGGAATGCAGGGCAATGTACTCCAAGCTTCCACACGGGCAGGATTTTGCAAATAACATTGGTAATATTGACAAAATGATCATTTTAAAATAAACCAAAGATAACTATATCTCTCTAATTCACCCAACAGGAATAGAAACAAAACTGCACTCTTTTTTTTTTTGTCCCTTTTCTACTGACTTTCCCATTCTGCATCATTTCCCTGGTGGCCAGCTGGTTCTCAAGTGTTGAACATAATATCAACAAAGAGGATTTTTTTTCACCTTTTAATTCATTTTTCCTATGTTTTCATGCACTTCTTCAGGAATCCTATTATTTGGGTTACGGAAAGAGAACTTCCCTGGATTAGTGATGTGCAATGACACTGGAAAAGCCAACCAAGGAAACGTGATCAGGGTGGGGAAAGCTGCAGCTCGCTTTCTGCAGGTGGTGGAACTCCAGAGATGGGCTCTGAATGCACCAATCTCCCACCAGCCCTGGCTGTGCTGCCCCGTGGGGGTTTGGGGCGCTCTGTGTCCCCTTCAATGCATTTCCCATTGCTGAGGGGAAAATCTGAGGTCTGTTCCTTTTTTCCACCTTCTCCCCATCACATTATGTAACTTTTCCCCCAGCAATCATCACGGCTTTGCCTGTGCCATCATTCTCAATAAATGTCAGGCTTTTGCTTTTAAAACCCCCTCATGGCACCTTCCCCTCCTGTGATGCCAATTCCAAAACGTTGGACCCAATTCCACAAGTCACTTCTGTTATTTTTCTCATCCGCAAATTTTGCTGCAATTGCCGTGAATTTTTCATTTGATTCCCAGACATTCCTTTCCACAGCTGAATTAATTTTAAAAATGCAAATATGACTGTCAAATACTTGTATTTTTTTTTTTTTTTTAGTATTCATTCCCCACCTCCAGTCTTCTGGGGGATGTAGTTTTGAGTTTGAGAAGTGAATATCTCTCAGGATATAGACAGCAAAAATCAGTTTCTTCTGCACACTCTTGGATTTGGCCCTGGCAAAGGATCCAGCTGATAAACACAGTGGAAATATTTATTAAAAAGCAAAAGTGGCCCAGGAGAACACCAAAAAACAGCTGGATGTGGCCAGGTGCAACCAGAAGTTTGGAGCAGCTTGAGGACCTCTAGCTTTCCTCCCCTTCCTTGTTTTTCCATGATTTTCCTAAAGAAGGGCATCTAGAACATAATTTTTGGAAGTGCATTGGGAAGAAGCAATTTGGAATATCAGAAAATGAGAAAAAGAAACTGCTGTTTCCAGATACAGTGGTCAAAGCCATTTTCAACAGTATTTTGTGGTGATAAAAATTGCTATTGTTTTTGTGGTCTAGAGGAAAACTCTCCCAAAACACCATCTCACTGGTGTCCAAAAGGGCAGAATATTGGCAATTATTAGAAAGAGCCATTAAAAGAATTAATGGTCTTTCTGCAACAGAACTGTGAAACCAAAGTGACCCAATGGAAATGGAAGCTCCACCTTCAAATAAATATAGAGAGATATCTCCTAGAAGATTTAAAAAAACATATTTTGCATACCGATTGCCTCAGATTGCAAATGTCAGCCAAATTCTGTTAGGCTGTTCTGTTCTGCAGCGGAAAATATCTTATATATTTTATATTTTGAGACTCAAGGAAGTTCATGGAATCACAGAATGGATTGGGTAGGAAGGGACCTTAAAGCTCATCCAGTTCCACCCTGCCATGGCAGGGACACCTCCCACCATCCCAGGCTGCTCCAGCCCTGCCCAGCCTTGGGCATTCCAGGGATCCAGGGGCAGCCACAGCTGCTCTGGGCACCCTGCGCTGGTGCTGCACCACCCTCAAGCTGAAATGCTTTTGGCAATTTTGAAATCTGAGTGTGGAAACAAATGCATCACTAGGTGTCTCTGCAGACCCACATCTCGGCACTGATCAACAGCAAAACAAGATTTCTCCCAATTAAAAGTCACTTCAATGAAGAAAAAGATCTGGGACATGACACAAAAAAACCCTTGCTTACAATAAGGAAAATGTCCAAATGCTAAATTGTAAGAAAGTGCTAAAATTCAGTGCTACTTGAGCTGCTGTCCTTGCCCTTGTGCTTTGTGACACAGACATTCATTTTTGGGTGGTACACCATGTGTCAAAATCTGTCTCATCCTAATTCTGAAAATCACTTGTGCTGAGGGAAGTTGGGATTAGTTGGAGGAAAAAAAAGAAACCCATGGGTTAGCCAAGAAAGAGGTGGCCAAACTCAAAGCCATGTATGATAATTTGGACTTTGTGAATGGATGGGTGCATGAAGATGAGGAAAAAATTGGCTTTAAATAAAGAGGAATGCAGGGCTGATCACAGAGCAAACCTGGATAAATTAAGATCTATAAAGAGAAGAACAGCATGGAGTCCCACCAAATGGACTGTCCACCAGCAGCCTGGGCCAGGGGAGGGTTCCTGGCCATGGCAGGTGTTGGAACAAGATGGGCTTTAAGGTCCCTTCCAACCCACACCATCCTCTGATTCTGTGGAGAACTAATGTGAGAAGAAGAAATGCTGCCCTGAAAATGCCCATTCAAACTCTGCCAATCTGAAACAAGAGCTGAAAAAACCAAAATTTGATTCCATTTAAATGTCCCTGGCAGTGCTGTGCTTCCCAATGTGATTGGTTTTGCACGTTTTTTTCTTGCAAGTGGAGAACAATGAGGACCCCTTTGATGTCAATGGAAAGTTGGAATTAAACATTGATTTAAATTGGTTTCCTCCCTCTTCCATGAAAGAAGGACCTCCCCTCTCCCATCCTGGTCAGAAACAGCTCAAAAAATGCTCATTAAATAAAGGGAGGGGGCTAAAAAGGGCCCAGTGAGGACTTGAGGTAGAAGAATGAAGCCAAGTGAAAAGCAACCAACAAAAATAGAAGAGGAATTGATTGCTTGGGGGACTTGCAGGACAAAGGGGCAACGACTCAATCACCAGACAAAGCCAAGCACAAAATGAAGCAATGGAGAAAAGAGGACACAAAAATCTTTGTAAGGTTATGAAAGCTCAGGGAAGACTCATCACATGGGAAAGCCCCAGATTGTCACCCAAACTTGGCCAAAACCAGGAATCATCTCTGGACCTGGCAACACGAGAAGATTGCAGCATTTCAGCAATAGTCAAACACCTTGTCTGGGTGTTCTCTCATCTCCCCATCATCTCAGGCATTTTGCATCTCCAAAAATCTTTGCATTTTCCATCTTAGAAAGCAGAAATAGCAGCAGACAAAGGACCATCCTTTTTGGATGCAGCAGGGAAATCCAACAGATTGTCCTGAGATGACATTTTCACAGGTCCAGGCATTGTTTTCCCACTTTTGGTTGATATCCTTGTTATTGTGTGCCCATAATTTTTTAAACATGCCCTGTGGAAAAAAACCTAGCCAAAACCTGAAATATTTCACTTTCATGGCAAACTTGGTGTATCTCAACACGAAATGATTGATGCTCTTTCCAAACCCTAAGAAAACCTATTTGCTGGGACACCTCCTTCATTGATACTAATTACATTTCATTATTTAGATTTTTTTAAAATCCTGAATTAATGGCCTATGCACGTCCCCTCAGCATGAAGCCAGCAGGCTGAAAATTAGAGAAATGATCCCACTTGCCATTTTTTAAACACCAATCCCATGATTTTTCTGCTCTCTGGAGCATCCTTAGCCTCTAAAACTCAACTGATGGATATGGAGCATTTCCATCCTTTTTCATCCATGCAAACTCAAGTAGACTCAAAGAGTTGAAGCACTCAAGCACTTGGCATGGTGTAGTTGGAAAACAGAAAATATTTGCCTTTGTGTTGTCACTGGTCTGTCATCCTCATCCATGACCAGGTGAGATGGTGGCTCTATCGTGAACCATCTCTGTGAATATTTCAGCTCCACCTGCTGAAAATCCCTCAGGGGCTGAGCCAACATTTCCCCTCCAGTTGGGTTTTTCCTGGGCGTGTTCCCATTTATTTCACAACTGCCTCCAAATCCTCACTTGAATTCCTCAACTTTCCAGCCTGGCCCAGAAGGGAAATGGCAGCAGCTCTGGGTTTCCAGGAATCAGAAGCTCTTGGTGCATCTCCATGGGCCTGATTATTTTCCAAAGACTTGTGCTAATTTTCTGATATGATCCCCACCTCTTTGTGAGACACTAAATCCTCATTACTTTTCCTGACCGATGCATTCTAATTAGATCAACACTTAAAAAAAAAAAAAAAAAAAAAAAGGAAGGAGGGAGGGGGGGAAAAAAATTCACAATAGCCACAGGACGGCTTTCCATCTCATTAACTCCCTCACTTATTATTTTCATGAAAATTACTGATAAAAAACGTGCATCTCCATTTGCTGGGACCGGGAGCTTTGTCGGCTCATATCTAACATCTCTCTCATCACCCGGGATGTGAGCTGTTGCCATGGCAATGCACAATAATAGAAACTAATAAATTACAAACGAGATGCTCGTTGAGCAATTATTGTTCTCTTTTATGCAAGTGTCTTGCTAATTTTGATCATAAGGAATGCTTCCATAAAGCAGCCAAGGGATAATAAGTCTATTTCTAGAGATTATTAGAATATAGAGTGAGGATGGGGTTTCTTAGATCAATGATTAAGTGGTTTGCTGCTTTCAGGGAACCTAAATAAGAAACTGAACTTTTCTGGGGGGCTTTTCCCTCATCATGTTGGGAGCTTCAAACTCTGCAGCACTCGGAGCTGAGCTGCTAAAAATGATATTTTTTTCCTTTCCACCACCTTAAAAATGCCCCAAAAGCCTGGAGAAGGCCCCAGCACCTGCCTCCTTTTTAGGGAGAGCTCCAGGAGCTGCCTGGGTTATTTTGGGTTCACTGCAGTTATTTCTGGTGGGATTGTGAAACCCTAAATTCTATTTTTCTACCCCAAAAACCAAGTGCCTGAGAGAGGGAAATGCCCTAGGGGAACAATCTAGCACGAAGTTTTTTGGGATGCAAGCAGCCAAGATGTATTCCCTGCACTGCAGATGCACATGAAAACCCCAACCATGGGCAGCTTCTCTGAATATTGAGTTACAGCCCCTTATTTTGCCCCCAAAGCCACCAAGGTTCAACTTGTTTTGGCTGCTTCAGGTGATATTTCTGCAGTTCTCAGGTATTCCCTTGTACTCTTCCACTATCCTTGTCTTCTTCTCCCAGCTAAAATCCAAATTATGCAAAAGAAGAAGCAAAGGGAATGCTGATCTTGCTGGGGGAGAACTGCAAGATTTGCTGGGACACAAAAAGGAGCAGCAAAGCCAGAAAGAGTTACCTGAGACCCAAAAATCCTTTCAGCTGCCTTAAAACAAAAAGTGAAACAGTAGAGAAAATCCTGACGTTTCTATTCTTCCTGCCAACAACTAGCATTTTTTTCATTTAAGAATGCAACTTTCTTATTTATATTCCCACACACTTGCACAGCTCCCTTGCCCTCACATTTAATTGCTGCAGCATCAGAGTTTGGGGTCTCTTACAGAGCCACAATCATTGGGGTTGCAGCTCTGCCAACACATGCAAAAAAAGGACTTAAAAAAATTCAAAAAAAAAGGGGAAAAAACTCACTACAACATCATTTATTGCACTCTATGAGCAAAGCACAGGGTTATTTTTTAATTCTTGGGGACGGACTGATGACTTTTCAGGAGGCCGCAGCTCCTGTAGAGCAAGTCTGGAACCCTGTTGGCAACTCCTGTTGGCCCAAGTGCAACAATGGCTATTGGAGAGGAATTTCACGGCATTACCTGGGGGTGGAGGCTGATGGAGGAGGGGCTGGGGGAGTAGGGCCCCCCCAGGTCGTTCCTGAGTAGGTTGTCACTGTGCATCTTGGTTTTGAGGCAGGTGATGTAGCGGTTGCAGAAGTCCTTGCACAACTCATTGACCTTCTCCAGCTCCAGGAGGTGGATGCGCAGCACCTGGATGGCCTTCACCATCTGCACAAGGGCACAGAGGTAAAATCAAGATTCTCCCCCAAATCTAAGGCAGAACTGATCCCCTACAGCAGAATGAAATTCATTTCCTTTCTCAACACGCACAAGAAATGAATATTCTTGCCCAAAACCCATCCCAGAGCCCATCCCTCTGCATATCCGCATTCCTTTTCCTTGCCCATCAATCAGATGAGATCCAATAGGAAAAAATTCACCAAATTCACCACTGCCTTCGTGGGAATTGCTCCCCATGCCCCAAAAAAGGAGTACAAGCCAATCTCCTCGTTGTTGAGAAGTGTTTGGTTATTCTCTGGAGGCCACTTCTTCTAACAAGATTACGGGGCTGCAGCTCAGCCGTGAGCTGTTGCTGGTGCAAAGCCTGGGCCTCATTAAAACGTACCCCATAAACCTTAAAAAATTTACACATAAAACATTCCTCTCGCCGAGCCGAAACCTTAAGTTTTACAGCCGCTGTTTGAAATCTTGCATAATATATAAAATTTCAGCTATTCACTCCGGGGCAATAAATCCGGTTTTATGTAACAAAGCGTCTTTGCATTTCAAAGAGTGTTTTTAACTTGCAAATTTTAGTGGTCATCTTTACAAACTGCAAGTTGCCATGGTTGGGAAACATCTTAAAAAATCCAGGGCCAAACTCCAGTGGCAGCTCCACGACAGAGAAAGTGAATTTTTGGTTGGTGAACAGGGATGATAGGTTGAGGCTGGAAAAATCTTTTATTTAGCTTCTTTTTTTGCTTTTTTGCTTTTTTTTTCTTCTTTTTCTTCCCTCCTCAGCAGCTGACACAGGCAAAGCACAAGGTGGAGGTGTCGTGCCCAGGATTTCCGCATCCTCCCAGGGCTCACCGGCCATGAAAGTCAATATTCAAGGGCAAAGGCAAGAAGACCTGACACATATATGTAAAAAAATAAATCTCTCAATTATCTCAGCTCATTTGCTTAGGGTCTCATTTTATGTCCCTGCTCCGCTGCGTCGTATATCTGTCCGGATAAAGAGTTACAGTCCGACGGCGTACGTGCGCGGGGTTGTAAAAAATACAGATGCTGAATTAATTGACTGTGTGGCACTCGGCAGCTGATTGAGTTGATAATGGTGAGATCTGACCTTTTTCTAATTTCTAATTATGTGCATCTTGGCAGCGAGGAATACATGACTCTTATTCTAATGATAGCTAATGCCACTGGCCTTTTCAGCCCTGCTGTGCCATCACCAGTTTCTGGCAAATGGGCGGTGTTAAAAAAAAAAAAAGGAAAAACAAAACCCAAAAAATAACAACAACCAAAATAAGGACAATGTAAATAGAGGAAAAGTGACAGCTCAAGAGCAGGCTGAAATGTTGAGTTTTGAGCACTGCAAGAGTTTTTAACCCAAAATTCCCTCCCAACAAGAGGAATGTGCTTCTCCAGCATCATATCAACCATCTCCTCAGTCTTGATGCAGGTTACCCACACTGAGGTGCATGGCTCCTCCTTTTTTGGTGGAGTTCTGGGCATTGGATAGAAAATATACATCCAGCTATGTACTAGAACCAGGCAAACCCAGATAAACAGAGATACAGACACACGGAAAGACACAGCAACAGATATAGAAATATATGAATAGGAATGTATCAAGTGCTGTAAGGTTACACAAGGGATCAGTGGGATCAACCCAACTGCCCATGGCCAAATTTCACCTTGGCAGCAAGAGCTGCTTCAGAATATGCCTAAAAACCATGATTGGTGTGATGTGGGGCTTTGTTTTAGAAACCACGCAAAACCTGAAAACAGCCAGTGTGGATACATTTCCTGCACTATCTGCTGGTGATGTTTCATCTTGATATGCACAGAAATAGGTTTTCCTTTCCCAAATTTTTAGATTCTTTTTCCTTCATCTGGCTCCATTTCTCTCCTGCTAGACCCTTACACCCATTTTTATGCAATTTAATGCAATGGGGGTTTGTTGGTGCACCTCAGCATTTGTTTAGTCCAAAACCTGAAATAATCCCAAACATTGGTTGGGTTATTGGGTTTTTGTGTTTTGGTATTTTGGGATTTATTTTTTTTTTTGATTGCTTGTCCCAGAGCAACTTCTGTTCTTGACTACAAGTCATTGCAAAATGAGTTTAGCAATATGCAAAAGGGGGCCTACAAATTGTTTGAAGGGCATTCTGCAGACTCTTGATTTAGGGATGCTAAAAAACTCTCTTCCACAAGCTGAAATAGGGCACAAATGTGAGATTTTACTTCAGCTTGAAATCTTCTCTTGCTTTTTTAAAAAAACAGTAGTTCTTGCACCTGGATGAGTTTTGCCAGTTCGTCCCTTTGTGATATCTCCATTCAAAATCCCCTCCTTGATACCTGCAATACTTGGAAAAAGGAGTCTGTGAATTGCCTGATTTTGCTTCTTATTTTGGGATGGAAATCCCTCTTCTACAAGTCCCAGGGGACACAGAACCCCTCAGGGGAGGTGTTTTGCTGTTTGCATCATCAGAGGTGTGCAGAATTCCTCAGACCTTGAAAATCTGTTTGTGGAGCATCAGGATGGTGCCACAAACTCGTCTACCCACATGTTTGCCATGGAGACCATGCTTGGATGCTTTTCTGAACAAAATAACGTGATTTGGGGATATTTCCTGAGGTCCACACAAGAGAAATCCAAAGGAGAGTCTTCTGAGGCACCGTCCAGCAGCAATGGATGCAGCAGGAAATCTGAGTTGCTGTGGCAGGGAACCCACCAGAGCCAGTCCAAGTGTTCCAAACTGTTGTGATCCATGATCTATCCCATAACTTTTTCCATGAAGTCATCGCTCTGCCCTGCTCCTAGGACATGAGCTGGCCATGACACTTCAAACCAGATGGTGGCAGATGAGCATGCTGACACTACTGCACCTTGCACTGAGGAGCAGTAATTCCTACAGACACTGCAAGTTTTGGGGCACAAACCAACCAGCAATCTCAGCTGTTCTCAGGAACCTCGTTGACCCCACAGATGTTGTGTGGGATAAAAGGGGGCAGGGGGGTTGTTCTTACAGGGTGTCTTCTGGAAGATGTCTCAGAGAAGGTCCTGGAGAAGGTGTCAAAAGGTCTTTGGAAAACCTTGCCAAGATGACCAGCACTACAGAGCCCAGAGACATGCTGGCAGATCTTCATTTGCTCCTCACCCCCGACCTTTTCAACACCCCCCAGAAATGATCTGCCAAGCCCCAGCTGCCTATACCAGGTTGTCCAGCTCGGGGTCGTCGCTGAAGAAGGGCTTGTGTTCCTGCTCCTGCTGGTGGACAAAGTTCTCGATGTCGACATCGAAGCTGGCCGAGGTGATGCACTCTGAGCCCTGCGTGGCCTGCTCACACTTCTCAAAGAGCAGCGTCAGCAGCGGGAACAGAGGGTGCCTGCAGAGGAAAAATGGGAACACCCATAAGGCCCACTGTCTTGGGTCCCATGTCCATCTTTACCCATCCATCCCTCCATCCATCCCTCCATCCATCATCCATCCATCCATCCATCATCCATCCATCCATCCATCCATCCATCCATCCATCCATCCATCCATCCATTCCATCCAAATCTCTAAGAACCTGGTGGTGCAAACTTCACTCCCAAGTCGCACTGGAAGTGGTCCCTTTAGATCTCTTTCAACAACAACAACAACAAAAAAGCTTAAAAATTGTACAATTCACTATCTCCTCCATCAGGCTTGTTCCAATGTCTTCCATCATTGCACCAAAGTCAGCATTTCCTAAATAGGCAAAAAGGTTAAGTCTTGGACATAGCCAAGATGTCCTGGAGCCATCTGCTGTCCAAGTGGCTTTTCCTTTCAAGGATGGACATCAGCACCTGCTCATGGATGGTAATATTCCACCTCAAAACGTCTTTTTGGTTGGAGTTGATGGATGGGGACTTCTGTCTGCTTGCAGAATCCTATGGATCAACCTTGTTGTGGGCCCTTTGCACCTCTGACAAGTCCACAAAGATGGGTCAAATCCCGCTTCTTTCTTACCATGAGCTCATCTTGAAAACAAAGATTTACAGCTCTTCTTGGAACCTAAATCTCTCCAATGATGATGCAATATAAAATGCAAACACACAAACAGCACCAAAGCTCGTGGACAATACAGGGGTGAAGAGCACGGCTTAGGGCAAGCCTCAATGAGCCCCTCCAGCTGTGCAAATTCAAATCAAAAATGTTTTACGGAGTCTTTCCAGGCAGAAATGCAAAATGCTCCTGCAGGAGTGGCCTCCCACAGCACTCCAGTTATCCGAGCACAGTGGGATTGGCTCCACCATTTTATCTCCAAAAGATGGCCCAAAAGATGATTATGAATCACCTCCTGACAGCGTCTTTGAGCCGGAGCCAGGCGAAGGGGTTAAACCCCTTGGCTAAGTCTTCATTTGCAGCCGCTAATACCACAGCATATTATAGTTTAATCTGTCCTGATCCTGGTTTAATGCAAGATTCACCGAGGCTGGAGCAGAGAGTGGCGAGGGGGGGAAATCATTTCATAATTTCAGTCGCCCCGCTGGAGCTTAGCCAAGGGATATGAAAGGCAAATTCCAGGCGGAAAGTTGAATTATTGGGACTTATGAACGGTGCCACCGCAGCAGGTGCCTGCTGCCATTTCCAGAGCTGCTCCAACAACTGGGAGCAGAGGTATGGAATTACCCCAAGGATGGGGGTGTGGGGAGGGGAAAAGGGGGTTAAAGCCCCTGAGAAATTCGAGCCCCTTTTCTTTGAGGGGTGCATTAAGGCCAGCATCACCCCGTATTGATCACAGCATCACCCCGCGCTCCCCAGTATTGACAATGGGGGCAATGCTGCTCTGGGCCCCCAGGAAAGGTTTGGGGCTGGCAGAGAGTAGGAGGAGGAAGAAACATGGCTGAGGGGAGAATGGTTTGCTTTCCAGCTGAAAATAAAGTGGAATAAAAAATTTAAAACCTAAGACAAAATTAAAAAAAAAAAAAAACAAAGTGGAATCCAATTCGATCAACTCCACCAATAAGTAAAAATAAAATTAAATGGAATAAAACAATAAAATAAACACCAAACAAGATAAAATAACACTAACCAAACAAAAAATTTCTCAGTTTTAAATATTTATATTAAAAAAAAAAAAAACAAAAACCAAACACAAGGGGAAATCAGGGGGCCAAGACCTGTTCTAGGCTTTGCTGGGCTGTGGCTGTCATCTGGGGAGGGCAGGGAATAAAGGAGAGAGGGGGGAAAGCAATGTGAAATAAAATAAAATTTAAATAAATAAAATAGGGATGGTTTAAAGGAGGGCACCAAGGAGGGCAGTCTAGAAGAGTGCTGGAATTTGGGGTTTTGCCATGAGCTTTATGTAGAATTATTGTGGCATTTGGGGTTTTTTTTTTTCATTTTTGCATAGGAAAAAACCAACCCAAACCACGTTTTCTTCATTTCCAGCCTTTCCATGCTCACACCATGCAAAGGAAAGGACGGCCCACCACAGCAGGTGGAGGTTGTGGCATAAAAATTAAAATTTTGCCATGAAATTTGCAGTGGGGGGAATAGATGGATATCCAGGGTGCACAGGGGAATCAGGAGGATTTCCTCCACTGTGGATTTTACAGTGGAAAACCACCCCTATGGCACAAAGGAGAGTTTTGGGGTAGAAAAATCTGCTTTTAGTGATTTAGTTTTGAAAAAAAAAAAAAACCACCTTGGTTTGTTTAGTTGGGTTTTTTTTTCTGCCAGGGAATCCTCCAAATGAAAGGGCTGAACCAGCCCTGACATTTTCCTGCAGGAGAGAGGTCGTTTGCAGCCACTAATAAAAAGGATTCGACACGGGCTAATAAAGAGGAATGAATTCCTCTAATGGCCTAATTTCCCACCTTCAGCCGAGCCAGCAGCACAGCGGGCATGTCACAACAGGAATTTTATTTTTTTCCACCCCTTTTCCCCTAAAAAAACCTCAAAAAACCCAAAAAAAAAAAAAAAAAAAAACGCCAAACCCCCACAAAAAGCCCCCACCAAACTTAATGCAAAGAAATCCACTTGGAAAAATCCAATTTGTGGTGCTTGGGTGGTTTAAGCATCATTTCCCTTCAGGAGCATCATCTTCTCTGGTCCAAAATCCATTGGGAAGTCCCAGCCCCAAGTCAAGAAAACACTTGAGCTGGGTGAAAATTGCAGCAGAGAAGTGGCACTGCCGGACCAGTCCCTGCCAAGATGCTCCCACACCAACAAGGGTGGGGAAGGATTTATTTTTTCCCCTTTTTTTTTTATTTTTTAATGGATGATAAACCTCCTGCTAGGGCATTAAACCCGGCAGGGTGACTTGTCCATGGGTTTTTATATTTCCCATCCCATTTTCCCAGCAATTTCCCTGCAGCTTGATCGACTGATGCTCACAGCCAATGCCTTCTGCCTTGGTGCAATTATTGAAAATTAACAAAAAATCCATTGGTTTGGGTGGAGGGAAACGGACCTGGGAGGGCTAAGAAAAATCCTTGTGTGCTTTTGATACCTAATGACACACACACCATCCATTTGAACCACTGGATAGGGAGATATTCAGCAAAAAAAAAGTTAATTTTATGCATATATATATATATATGTATTACATAAATATATAGTAGGATATATTTGTTTTATATAAAAAATATTTGTGGGGTTGTTTTGGCTAGCAAAAATAAGCATCCAGGTTTGGGCAATAANCTCCCAAGTCCAGCCCTCTGGGGTGCTCCAGAAGAGTTTCTCTTGAACAAACTCCTCTTTTTATTATAATCTGACTCCATAACGATGCTTGAAAAAGTTATTTGACTGCTTAGAGCACCACTGGAGATGAAATCTTTTTTTCTCCCCCCTGCCACAGGTTATTAAAAAACGCCATTGAAATAAATCAAAGGCCATTCCTATGACTAAACCTGTCCTGGTTTAGTTACATATTTCATCTTTCTAGCTAATTGACCTGCTGGTTGCAATCATGGCAAGGTGTCAGCTTTCCAAGAAGACCCAAAGACCCCAAAATCACAGAATTTAGAGAATTCACAGAATCACTGGGTTGGAAGAGACCTTGAAGATCATGGAGTCCAACCTCAACCCCTCAGCTGAGCCCTGGCACCCAGTGCCACATCCAGGCTTTGTTAAACACCCCCAGGGATGGCGACTCCACCACCTCCCTGGGCAGAACATTCCATTCTTTCAGTAAAAAAACCCATTTTTCTGACATCCAACCTAAATTTCCCTTGGCACAGCTTAAGATATAAGACAAAAAAGGGAAAAAACCCCATAGTTTAACCCAAAATCTTTCCATCTTGCAGACTGACAGAAGAGGTTTCAATTCTGCCGGTTCTGAGATGAATACATTATTTTGTAATGGGCGTTATTTGGGAAATCAGGGTGATCAATGCAGGAGTTGGGGTGCTGGGGGTCTGAGGACACTCACCTGCGGGGTGTCCTGGTAGGGAGGAGGAGGAGGCACGGTCTGGGTGGCCATCATGGTCAGAGCTGGTGCAGGGGAGACATGGTGCATCCTGCTTGGGACTCACATCGAGAACCTGCGGGCAGCAGAACACAGCTCAGGGACGCCCCACCCCTGAAACCCCCACGGGAAGGGAAGGAAAAACGAGAGGTGGCATTCCTCACACTGCCCTCTGCACACAGTCCTGGGAGAAACTCAAGGTGGTTCCATCAGCCTTAGGGTGATTTGATGATTTTTTTGAGATTTGTGATTTTGGATAAGGAATGCACTGGGGGGGAAGAGAAGCAGGTCAGCTGGCAGGGGGATCTTCACTGGAGATGAGGTGCCATCAGTGAAACTCATGATATCCTCTCCCCTGTCAACCCTGGCACACCCAGGTTTTCTTCCCACCCCTCATGCCCCACACTGCCTAAATGGGGATTTCCATCCCCTTTCCAGCTATTCCTCTTTTCTGGAAGCAAAACTTGCCATTTTTTAAATTATACACGAAACCCTCCCAAACTGCCGTGTCTCTTTGCCTTTGGTCACCACAGAATCACATCCTGAGAAGGGACATCGAGAATCCAATGTGGAGATTCACCAACATATTTGATATATTTATTTATTTATTATTTTATTGAACATATTCCTATTCCGTGCACTCCAACCCAGCTGTATCCTGTGTTGAGGTGACTGACCCCATGATGACTGAAGGCACAAAAATGTGGAAACTCTTGTTTGATTTGAGCCAGGGAGCAAAGCTGGATTTTGCACACCCCATAAACTGAGGAGGTGGTGCTCACACTGCCTCCAACCTCTCTGGAAGCTGCTGCTTTCTCTAAAATGCAGTTATTTGGGAGGAAAACACACTAATTTTTTTGTATCTTCAGGTTCAAAGGAGATGGAGAAAAAAGAGGGGCACCAGGAAGGGACAAATTTATAGTGGAGCACTTGGTTGGGAAAAGTCCCCAACAAACAGACCTGGTGGTAGATGTGACCCAAAAGCAATTGATGGCCCTGAAAATACCTTTTATCCCACTCTTTCACTGCAGCTGTGTGGTGGCTTTAGAAAGAAAAGCCATTAATCTTGCCTGAATTCATAAAAACTCTGTCCTGTCCTCACTGTGGCTCAGAGCTCTGGTTTGGGCCAACTCACAAAGTTGCCCAAAAAATTTCCTGGGACCTCCAAAGGACATTTCCTCTTGAAAAGAAGAAATTTCTTCTTTCAGAAGAAAAACTTTTTTTTCTTCTGAAGAAGAAGAAGATGTCTCAATGTCAAAGAAGACATTTTTATTTTCTCCTTTCTGTAAGAGGTGACACCTCCCCAAGGATCTCCTCGTTGTGATGCACTGACTTTCCCCTTGGCTTCTTATCCGGGGAAAAGCCATGGCACCACCCCATGAGGAAATGCAGGAAGTTATCAAAGTCCCCAGATATTGTCAGGGAAAATAACCCAAAACCAGTGTCAGCACTGCTTTCACCACAAAATGGTGACAGGCAGAAAGGTGCAAAGAAAAGGAGAAGAGGCACTGATGAGCTCAGCCAAAACTGAGGCACATTTGGGAATGTTTGTGAAAAATTTAGTCCTCTCTATGAGGTTGTTTTGGGGGAAGAGGTGCAATTTCTGATTTTCTCCAGGCTTCAGGCTTTGCCATGCACTAAGTTCACAAATGCACCACATCCAAATGGAAAGCCAAGTGCTTGGGATGAGCATCAACAACCCTTCTTTATTTTGCATGAATAAATGAGGTTATTCTTTCTTATACTTTGCACAAATATGGACAACCCATGGGTTGAATACTAAGAAATCACACCCGAAATCCTGTGCATTGTGAAGGTAGATCAGGGTTCTTCCCTCACACAGACCTCTAGCAGTGAGGATATTGCATTTATGGGATTAAAATGATGCTTTTCATCTTTTTCCTCCCAACAGCAAAATAGCAGGAGGCAAAATTATCTGCTCCTGAGTGAACTCACAGCTTAAAACCTTTGATGTCCAATGTCAAACCCAGCTCACAGCTGCAGGCACACAAATATCCCCGTCCTCGGGGGGCAACACCCAGGGAAAAACCTCCCCACCAGAGAGAGAATTTCAGCTGGGGAAAAGCAGAATTTAGCACTGTGACAGTCTGGACATCTGTGTAGGAAGCTAAAAAAAAAAAAAAGACATTGCTATTTTGGGAAAAATACCCTGCTTGGCATCTATTGTTCCTGCCAAGAGAGATCCCACAGCCAGCCATGGCGATCTGCTGGGGGGTGTGAGCTTTTTGGGCGACTCTATTCCCAGAAGGTGGCAGCCCAGAGCCCAATTTAATTGCTGAATAATATCTAAGCTGCTCAAATCAAGCTGTTCATTGAGGTTTATGGGTGATGATTTGTTTGGAGAATAGGACTGACAGCTAAATTAAAAAAAAAAAAAAAAGGGATAAAAGTGGGAGACAGCTGTTGCCAATAGCAGTATATTTATTTATCTTGGGGGAAACAAATGCACTCAGGCAGTGTAAATATCCAGGAAATATCTGGTGGCCACAGGAAAAGCTGGACAGGTGTTTCACGTGGGAGCCCCAGCCATGAATCTCAGGATAACAGGGCAGAGCTGTCACCCCATGGATTTATCAGCAGCCACCACAGGGAAGGGTTGAAAGCTGCCTTTATGTGCATTAACTTTCTTATTTTTTGTATTTTTGTTTTATATATTAATCCCTTCTCCTTCCTTCCTTCCTTCCTTCCTTCCTTCCTTCCTTCCTTCCNAACGCCAAACCCCCACAAAAAGCCCCCACCAAACTTAATGCAAAGAAATCCACTTGGAAAAATCCAATTTGTGGTGCTTGGGTGGTTTAAGCATCATTTCCCTTCAGGAGCATCATCTTCTCTGGTCCAAAATCCATTGGGAAGTCCCAGCCCCAAGTCAAGAAAACACTTGAGCTGGGTGAAAATTGCAGCAGAGAAGTGGCACTGCCGGACCAGTCCCTGCCAAGATGCTCCCACACCAACAAGGGTGGGGAAGGATTTATTTTTTCCCCTTTTTTTTTTATTTTTTAATGGATGATAAACCTCCTGCTAGGGCATTAAACCCGGCAGGGTGACTTGTCCATGGGTTTTTATATTTCCCATCCCATTTTCCCAGCAATTTCCCTGCAGCTTGATCGACTGATGCTCACAGCCAATGCCTTCTGCCTTGGTGCAATTATTGAAAATTAACAAAAAATCCATTGGTTTGGGTGGAGGGAAACGGACCTGGGAGGGCTAAGAAAAATCCTTGTGTGCTTTTGATACCTAATGACACACACACCATCCATTTGAACCACTGGATAGGGAGATATTCAGCAAAAAAAAAGTTAATTTTATGCATATATATATATATATGTATTACATAAATATATAGTAGGATATATTTGTTTTATATAAAAAATATTTGTGGGGTTGTTTTGGCTAGCAAAAATAAGCATCCAGGTTTGGGCAATAAGTGCACACATGGAGCTGGACAACAATTTTCCCTCAGTTTTCAGGGGAGAATGCCTCCCACAAGGTGTTTTTTCCATGTCTTTGACATTCCAATTAAGGCTGTGAAAACTCCAAGGGTGGGTTGGGGTTTGTTTTCTTCCCTTTATCCCACAAATGCTGCAGAACTCTTCAAGGAAAGGAAAAAAAAAAAGGTATTTTCGTCCTCAAATGGCTTCTTTTGCTTAGAGGAAATCATTTCCATCACTGGGACACCTGCAGCAAATAATCCTTGGAGTTTTCCTGGGAAAGAGTGAGTTTATTCCACACCTTCATCCACTTTTTCAGACCTTTCAGCCTTGTAATATTTGATATTTGGAGGACAAATATTTGATTTCCTTCAAGTCTAACCTGCAATTTTTTTGGTTCACAAGCCCCCACAGCCCTGGTCATTGACAGGTTAATCCTAAACCTTAAACTTTAATCCTAATTATATTAGAATATTGTTACTCTTGCATCATTGCTCTATGATTTGTAAATTATCACATATCACTTGTATAATTACATATTACTTTTATAATTATACTATTTACATAATTAAAACAGTACTTATAGCAATTATACAATAACATTACTGCATACATTAAAATATTATATATTATTATGCCCAAATTGACAAAAAATGGACTGGAAGAGTCATCCATCACTGCCCACATCCTGTGCAGATGCAGGAACTGCACATTTCAGGTCAATGTGTGACTTCACTCCTTGTTCAGCCCCAAATCACAAGACTCTGCCCCCAAAAAGTAAATTTGGGATTTTTTTTTTTAATATTTTGATGCTGCAGAACAACATCCACGAAGGAGCTCCATCACCACACATTACAATCAATGGTTATTATTGCTACAAAGGAGCTAATTGCTAATCCCCCCCTTCCCGTGTGTTAATTAATGCATTAGAAGAACAGCAGATTAATAATGCATAATACCAACTAATGCATCAAATAACTGATGCATTAATTAATGCATCGCCGAACTGATGCAACAACCCACAATAATGCAGTAATTGATGCATTCCAACAACGAAGCCATTAATTAAAAGGCATTAATTATCTTGCTCACCTGTAGACAGCCCTCTTGTCGGCCTCCAGCTGTGCCTGGGGGTCGCCGCCCGCTGGCG